TGCCACCCGAAACCGGGGTGGAAAGGCTTGCCCGTAAAAGCGACAGCCGCCAGGGAACGCTTCCTCACCTGTGGTGGCCGAGGTCGCTTTGTAATTCTGAAGTAAAGATGGCTGCCCGCTCGTTTCAGTTAGCAACCCGCGTACCTGCTTGAAAGCAGAATTGGGGAATTGCAAATAATTACGTCAGCAGCATTAACCACGTTACAACGTCAAACCGCAGTGTAATTTAAAGCGCTTCATGTATTTTGCAGAACTGAGAGGCAGGGGTGGCAATGTGACACGAGTAGCCTAACAGAAATGCACGTGGGTGGCACAGGGCACGTACGCGTGACTTAGAATCATAGCATCACTTTGGTTGGAAAAGACCTTTGAGATCATCGAGTCCAACCTTTAACCTAACCCTGCCATCCCACCACTAAACCATGTCCCTAAGCACCTCATCTATCTTTCTTTTAAATACCTCCAGGGATGGGGACTCGACCACCTCCCCGGGCAGCCCATTCCAGAGCCTGACAACCCTTTCGGTGAAGAAGTTTTTCCTAATGTCTAGCCTAAACCTGCCCTGGCGCAGCTTCAAACCATTCCCCCTCGTCCTATCATCTGTTACCAGGGAGAAGAGGCCGACCCCCACCTCCCTACAGCCTCCTGTCAGGCAGGTGTAGAGGGCGATCAGGTCTCCCCTCAGCCCCCAGTGTTACCGCTGTATGTGCGCAGCGCTTCTAAGAAGATGAATTCAATTTTTGAATCTTAAAAAATCATTTCAGGGTACGAGCAAGCAGCGCAGTAACGACTGTCGGCCATCTTTCACAGGGTTGTCCTCGAACCTGTCTTCCGGCAGTGCGTGCACCTCGTTTCCCCGCGTCCTCCCTCCTTCCCTCCCCCCGGCCCACCCCCGGCCGCGGTTATTGCTTGCTTGGCTCTGGGAAGAGCTGCTTTTTTCCGTCATCGCTCCTCCTTTACACCTCAGGCTTGGGCCTGCCCTGCAGCTGCTAACCGGGGCGCCACCGCGGCGCTTGCAAATACCACGCGGATGGCTGCGGGCCCGCCCGGAGGGCGACGCGCCGCTCGCGCTGCTGGCGTGACTCTGACGTCATACCTCCCTCCGCGCGGACGCCACCCCTGACCGGAAGGGCCGCCGCCCCTCTCCCGTCCTCGCCCCTCCCCTTCGGGAAGCGGTGACGCTAGCGCGGGGCGGGGCCTGTGCCACACCGGAAGTGGCGCCC